CTGTCTTGTTTTTATGCATCCGTCTTAATTTTATTATTTATTTGTTATTGAAGTTTTATGTTTTCATTTATTTATTTTATTTTTTTAGTATTTGTTTTTTTCCTCTTGTTTCTTTACTTCTAATATTTCTAAAGCAGTTAATTAACTTGTTTAACACTCATAGTAATTTGGTAAAGTTTTCATAATTTGATGTTAAGGAGAATTTATTTAAAACAGATGATTTAGAAAGATGTGTTAGGTGAAAAGGTCGTTAATGTATATTAGATTTTTTAATTTTTCCTCTTGTTTCTTTACTTCTAGTACTTCTAAAGCCATTAATTAACTTGTTTAACACTCATAGTAATTTGGTAAAGTTTTCATAATTTGATGTTAAGGAGGATTTATTTAAAAATAGATAATTTAGAAAGATGTGTTAGGTGAAATGGTTGTTAATATATGTACGGGGTTTTTTTTGTCTTTGTATTATTATGTTGATTCATTTAAAAAAATTGGCTACTTCCAATATTCTGGTACCACGTGACTTCGCAGTGAGGGGAAGCAGGCGGGGTTATCTGTGGAATCAAAGTGGGCGTGTCACAAGAGTGGGCGTGTCTAAACCATAAACACTGTGGGCTACAGGCCTACAAGACAGTATCCTTAGACCCTGCTTGACCTCTAGTAGGTAGGGGTAGAGACCCAAGTAGGGGTCTCCAGAAAAAGTGGTGCCGTACAGTAACGCCCCTTTTGTTCTTGTCCAATCAGGTGGTGCCGTACAGTAACGCCCCTTTTGTTCTTGTCCAGTCAGTTGTGTCCCTTTAACAAAGTCCGTCAAATCAGGTGTGTCGCTTTAGAATCGCCTTTCATTGTGACACGCCCACTTGTCCGCAGAGACCCCTACTTGCTTTTCTGGAGACCCCTACTTGGGTCACATTTCTCCTGGTTAACCTTAGTGTTGGGGTCAGGGTCAGGCTGTATAGAGGTCAAGCAGGGTCTAGGGCTACGTTCACACTGCAGGCAAATCCGACCCAAATCCGATTTTTTTGACCCATCTGACTCATATCCGATTTTTTGACCCATCTGACTCATATCCGATTTTTTTATGACCGTCTGAACGCGACAAATCCGATTTTTTCAAATCCGACCCAGGCCGTTTC